CCTGTATCTTTCTTACAGTGGTTAACACAACTATAAACTTGTTCTTCATTCAGAATTCCATTAAACATTACATTATTGGAAAGTTTCTGTAGCAACAATGCAAGGGAAAATAATATTAACAGGGATATCCAGCTACCATTGAAACAAAAATCTTCCAAACACTCTGCTCCACAGGAGAGAAGAAGGGGAAAAAAAAAAAAAAAGGTGAAGGGCAGTACTGTATTATCCATGGTGCATGAATATCAGCAAATGTCCACAACTATTAGCTCACATTTTCCCCTATAAGTGCTGTCCTTTCATTAGTTGGTTCTTGAAATTTGGCTGCTTAAAACAATCTCCTTCCTTAACTTTTTGGGTCAGGCTCTTAGGTAAATGCACTTGCTGGATCTTTTGTCTTTGCTTCTTTTATTGTGTCTGAAAGATGAGGGAAATAAAGAGAGAATGAAAATCACTCTTCTTTATAAAATAATTGTTTCACTACTATGTAAAATTGAGTCCTTGCTGAGTCCTTAGACTGTTACATAGTGTGTTCCTGCTACATGGAACATTAGAAATAAAAAAGTAACTTATTACTATATTCCTGGAACATGACCTCTTTGCAAAGTAATAAGAATTACTCTACCATACAGAAATTAGTTCTTTTTAATGTCTCCTCCCAACTTTGCTCTCCTGTGCAAGAATGCATTGCACTCAAGGACATGCATGTCCATATGTGGGTAGGCATTGGCAGAAAAGGGTGAAAGAATCAAGTATCTGTGGTTTCTATTATCTGCTTGTTCAGTCAGATGACAATTTTGGTGCACAATTGTAATACTTGGGAGAAAAGGCAAATTAATAATAAAAAATTAGTTATACCTACAGATATTTTGAAGACAGTTGTGAGTTTTCTTTGTTTAATCTAAGCTAGATGGACATGAGCCATGCAACCTGTTAGCACAAACACAGCACTACACTTGTGTGTTTTAATGAGAGATCAGATATATTAGACCAAGCTCAGCCATGTGTTAATGTAGTTATTTGGCCTCTAGTCAGCTCACAACAAAGATGGAATAAGTTTGCATTTTTCTGCAGATAGTCTCATTCTTCATTATTGTCCTGTGGAGCCTTGTTTATGGAAAACCATGAACATCCCTAAACAAGTACTTCTTGCACAGTGATGATACCTTTTGGCTTTTACCATATAATCTTGGGGGAAAAATAAAATAAAAAAAAAAAAATCAGTTGGCCTTTATTCTTCCTTTGTTCATGCAGGTGTTCAAAATTATACTAAAGTTTAATGCATGGAGATATTTTTAAGGAAGTAAAATTTTGCTAGTGCTGGCAGAATAAGTGAAAACTCTAATAAAATAATTTACCAATGACAAAGGTGGTTAGCACTTCATGGGACCAAGTGAAACAATAAAGAACAAGTAAATTTCATTTGCTAGCTAGACATGGCAGCATGCATGCTTAGAGATGAAACTATGTAAACAAGACACTGCTAAATGCTGTTGGAGAAAACAACAGGATTGTTAGCACAGTATTTCTGCAGTACTGTATGGTATTGAGACACAAATGCCAGGAACAAGATGATGAGAAATGTGATCAAGGTCTGAATAAACCATGAGTGCTGAAGTTTGCAAGTACTTCATGCCTTTATACTTATTTAAAAAAAAAAAAATCAAATGAAAAAAAAAAACCAAAACAACAGAAGAACCAACCCAACAAAAAGCAGGGGAGACAGGGTTCGTTGGTTTGTTCAGTTTTGTTTTAAGCAGGTCAAGAGTAGTACATTGCATTGCTTTAACCCCCAGAACTGAGCACTCCAGAGCTCACAATGGATCCTCAGGTCCTAGCAATGCCTGGGCAAATTGGCACAATGAGGAGTTATGCAGAAACTCCCAGTCCAATATAGACAACAGTAACACGATGACTTCAAGTCCCAGAAAAATTACACAACTGCTCAAAATAGGAAATCTTACTAAAAGGCTTAAATACTTCACCTGTGTTCTGTTCTGTTCTGGATGGGAAGCTCTTCCTCCATATTTCCTACTCACTATTTCCCAAGATTGAGAGTACAAGAGCAAATATAAACTAATAAAAACTAAACCTACACGCAGTAAATTCAGAAAGCATAGTGGGGGCAGACTTATGAACACAGGGATTCTTATTCTCCGGTGAATGTCTTAGTCACTAGGATATGAAAGCATGCTTGTCCTCTGCTTTTATGAATCTTGACTTCTTCCACACAGTATCGTGACTTTACCTGGACTAGTGGAAAGTAGCCCTCTCAAGCATGAATGCTATGAGCTGGCAGTTCAGCACTAAGATAAAAGATGAGGATTTGAATGCTCTCAGGCACCAAAAAACATTGATCTTCATTTCCTCACTTTTTGTTTGAGACTTAGGGTGCAAAGAGTATACAAAGATTGCAGAATTAAAAGTCTATTGAAATTTTTTATTTAAGCTTCATTTTTTGATTGTACGTTACATGTGATCAGACAATTGACAACACACAGAAGTTTTTCAATTCCCTTCTATTAAAGAGAGCAAGAAAGAAACACATTTTCTGAAATAAATTATATTGTTTCAGAAGTGAAATCAAGTGCTCTTTGGCATTGTAAACCAAACAAGGCCCTGAGTAATTAAGTCACTAGAGGAAGTGAAAATAGGTGAAGAAAATGAAAGCATAGCTTGAAAAAATACATCTGTGTTAGATAAAAACATCTGAAACAGAAGCAGTTGAGATTTTTTTACCCCATGTCCTATAAATTAATGGGTACTTAGCACACAATTTTTTCTCCTCTATTAAAAATCACAAAGCTCTGGTTGGGATTCAACCTTTCTTCTCAGGTACAAAAATACATGAATTAAGTACATAGTAGAGTCCCAGCCAGCTGGGACACCACCTACAAAATTCAGTAAGTGGCTGCCATGTAAAGATAGAGACACTTCAGAGGAACAAAAACAACAACAAAAAACATGCTCACACTCTAAACCATCAGTAAGCAGTAGATTTACATTTGTCCTATTCCCAGATGAGGTTTTATTGTTCTGACTTTAATACGTTGAAGATTTATCTATGTGTTTGAAATGTAGCTTTGCAGCCAAATCAGAATTCTTTTCTGCATTTGACATTTTACCGCTGTTATAAAAGTTTGCATGGGAGGTGATTTGGTTGGGTTGATGGTTGGACTCGATGATCTTAAAGGTCTTTTCCAACCTTAAGGATTCTATGATGATTCTATGATTCTATGATTTGCAGTTAGGTGGCCAATAGCACTGTACTTCTCAAGCAAAATGAAACACAGATTAAATGCCAGATGTGTGTTCCAAGGTGAAATTCTCCCTAATGTGCTCCCTCTAACCACTGGCCAGACAGAGAGACTGAATTGTATCAGGATTAATGAAAATCTGTATGATATACAGAGAGACAATTTTCTGACTTGTATTCTGAAGATCTGAACTTTCATATAGTGACTAATAGCACATACATGTATGTGGTATAGAGGAACAAAAACATGATCACAACTTTTTAAATGGACCATTGGTCAGTTGCCTAAGTATAAAATTGGAAGTCTAGGTTAAGATATGCCCCCCAAGGCTTGTGCTACTAAACACAGATTAGCATTCTGCTAGCATTTGTCTGACCCAAAGGACAATGACAACAATTAATTGGATACAGGAGGGAATTGCTATTTGCTTATGACTGAGATACTGATATTTGTATGGACTATGAAATGGACAACTTCAAAATTAATCAGATTGAATGAAAAAAGAGTTTCAAAAGCAAGTATATAAGTTTTCCAATCAGTTTTTAAACTGAATGGCAAACGTTGTAGTAAGAGGGCATGAGGACATCTGTTTTAAACCTCTAATTCTGTAATCCTTTCTACTACATATAAAAGGTTAGGAACTAAGTACATCATAAGGCAATAGTTATTCACATTTTCATATATGCAGGCTTATGTTAAACTACCTGTTTATTCAGATACCCTTTCAAATCTCTATATTAGGTTTCCAACATAGAAACTACCATGAAGAAATAACAGTCTAAGGTTTGTTCATAATTTCTCAGTCTTCAAACTGAATAAATGAATGCATAAGTAAATATGCATTCATACTAAGACAAGACAGGTTTTATAATACTGCTTAAGCAGTGGATTTTTTTTTTCTCCCCCCCGCCCCCTTTTATAAAACATCCTTGTTTCACAAGAGGAGCATTTGTTTTAGTACTTAAGTAGCTGTACTTAACCAACATCACGTTTCTTTGGATTGTCTGACAGTATATATTTGAACAAAGCAAAATCAAACAAACAAACAAAAAAGGCCACAAAACCCAAAAATAAAACACAAAGCAACTATAAGTGGTAATTTAGTTAACATTCTGTGATTCATAGCATTTAAAGATGTTTGTCCTTCCTAAAGGACAGTTCAAAATCAACATGAGGTTTAGCAAACTCATATTTAGCAAACATATTTCATTTCTGCTAAAATAGTGTACTATTTTCAATCACAGAACAGTTGAGGTCCAGAGGGACCTCTGGAAGACATCTAGTCCAATACTCTGGCTCAAAGCAAGGTCACGTACAGCAGGTTTCTCCAGGCCATGTCCAGTTAGGTTTTGAATATTTCTAATAATGGAAACTCCATAAACTCTCTTTGCAAGCTATTCCAGTTTTCAATCACTCTCACACTAAAGAAGTTTTTTCTCATGTTTAGGTGGAATTTCTGTTCTTTATATTTGTGCCCATTGCCTCTCATCCTGTCACTGGATACTACTGAGAAAAGTCTGGCTTCATCTTCTTTATTCCACCCATCAGGTATTTATGATCATTGACAAGGTCTCCCCTGAGCCTTTTCTTCTCCAGCCTTAACAGTCCCAGCTCTCTCAGTCTCTCCTTGTATGACAGATGCTCCATTGCCTTTTGCTGGACTTGCTCCAGTATCTCCGTGTCCGCCTTGTACCAGGGAGCCCAGAACTGGATGTGTCTCACTAGGGCTGAGTAGAGAAGGGTTACCTCCCTTGACTGGCTGGCAATGTTCTTCCTAATGCCTTCCAGGAGGCTGTTGGCCTTCTTTGCTGCAAGGTGGCTTTTGTTCAACTTGTTGTCCACTAGCACACCCAGGTCCTTTTCTGCAAAACTGCTTTCCAGCCAGTCAGTTCCCAGTCTGTACTGAGTCATGGCATTATTCCTCCCCTGGTGCAGGGCTTTACATTTGCTTTTGTTGAACTTCAGGAGGTGCCCATCAACCCATTTTGCCAGCCTGTTGAGGTCCCTTTGAACGGTAACATACCCTCTGCTCAAGTTCAGGGCTGGGATCCTGCTATTTTCATTGTCCCCACACTTCAGAATCCTGAACTCCACCATATCATTGTCATTACTGCTAAGGCTGCCCTGACCTTCAACTCCCCAACCAGTTCTTCCTTGTAGATAAGAGTTAATCAGCTCCAGAAGACCCCTTCCCTTTGCTGGCTCCTCCATCACGTGTGCCAGGAAGTTATCACCAACGTATTCCAGAAACCTGCAGAGTCTCAAGAGAAGATCTGGTCAATATTTTTTCTGTTGATCTCTAATGCTGTGCAGGCTGCTGATCTCCAGCAGTAGTTTCTTCACTTGGTGACACAGCTCCTCCACCGGCACTTAACTCCTGCAGGCAAGGAACCAACCTCCCACTGCCCCAGTTTCAGTGTTGCTACATCTATGGGTTGCCTCTGTTAGCCAAGATATCTTGATAGTATATTAGTGCTTTGGAAGGAAATCAAGGGAAAGAATGGAGAGTAAGTGGCATGTATTTCCTTCAGTAGACCAAAACAAGAGAAAAAACAAAGTACAAAAAAAAAAAAAAAAAAGATGGATTCCAGGTGCAGATTAGGACAGATTAAGACAACTAAATGTAGGTGTCAACTAAATGTAGGTGTCTCCCTTAGATGATCTATATGTTAAAGCTCTCATCATCATTGATGGAAATCTAGGGTTTGATCCACTGTCCAGATATTAGCTCCTGTTAATTTTCTGTCATATCTAAGCCTACCTGTACATCTCAAATGCCCAAGCATAGGATACACTGTACAAGGATACAGTAAGATAAACATAGGCACTGAATGGCCTGAAGGCAGCTGAAATATGCTCATTTCAATATAGTTAAGGCAGCAAGGAAAACAATTCACTTCACGCTAAGGCAAGTATAAGGAAATTGATTCTGTTGCCTAGACTGTCTCTCTCTCTGAAAACTGGTTTCTCAGCTATTAACAAGTTTATTTTTTTTTAAGTTATTCTGATTTGAATGAAAGGCAATCTATTTTTTTTTTTTAATAGTCATCTGAACCTTTGCACATGTTCTAGAATCCCAGTTCAATAGAGTTAAAAAACATCAGTTGACTAAACTACAGTGGCCAAAATGTTATTACAAATCAAACCACAACTTGCAGGGGAAAATTAGATACCCGTTTATCAGACACATAGGTTTGTTGGTTTGTTTGTTTGTTTGTTTTCCAGCTGTAGTGCATGGCAGAAATTTGTTTTCCACCTATCAATCAAGATAGAAGTTTGTCATTGATAAGTTTCTTGTAGAGCATAAGCATACAACATATAATGATGTTAGAAACCAGACACAGGTGATCAGTCTTCTTGGAAATATACAATTTTGTTACAGGTTTGCAGAGGTTCAGTACCTGTGACTTGTTCACCACAAAACTTGTTCTTGCAGGATGGTAAGTAGTCACATGAAATGATGAGTTACCTAACTTTCAGTAAATTCAGCTGAGAGTAGTACCTCTTGGCATTTACTCTTTCTTTTTTAAGTTGGCCATTTTAATTATCACAGTCATAAAGAACTTCTTTTAAATCACCAGAATATTTTTCTACTCTATATTCAATATATTAGACACAATAACTACATTTAGCAAATTTTTAAGAGGTGCTTGCTCTCCTTTTTATTGCTAAATTCACTTGAGAAGATGTCTTACGTGTAGTAGGTTTTCATAACTTTATTCTTCATGTTGGCTTAGGATATAATTTCAGAAAATTTTCATTAGTCTAAGAAATTAGGATTAGTCTAAGAATAAGGAAATCTTACCTGTTCACATTGCTGAAAAATACAATGTAGTAAAATTTGCAGGTTTGTAAACAACTATTTTATATCTGTCTTTTTCTGAGTAGACTTTATTTACACTGTTTTAGCACTTTCTGCCACTTCAGCTGCTTTTTTAATCTCAGAATGGCAATTTTTTTTTCTTAGTTTTACTTTTTGCTTCAATATTTAAATTACATGTAATGAATTCTATTTTTTTTCCAAATTGAGCAGATGATTTGTGAGGTAGAGCAGTCTTGACAAATTAATGCAGTGTTGTATATGGTTGGCTCTGAGTATTTTATGTATTTAGACTCTCAACTCAAGACTTTCACCTAATATAGGTTTGGATTTATAAGTCAAGGTAGGTTAAAGAAAGACAAAAGAGGTTAACTAATGGGCAGTACTGTCAGGCTATAAAAAAGGTAACAAAGGTTTTAGAAATAAGCTTGACACACTTCAAATTTATTTTATCCTCAAGTACTTATTATGCATATGACTGAATTTTCAGAGGAATCTATTTAAAAAAACAACCAAACAAACTGAAAGTCAGCAACATCCTGTTTACAAAACTTCTAAGCTTTTTAAATTTTGTAGGGCTCTGAAAATTCCTGTCTCACATTCTACTAAGAGCTTCCTCTTTGAACAAAGTTTCCCACTGAACAAATAAGAAAAGATCAGTCTATGAGTCACTAATCATCTAATCAGTTACTGATTATGGAAGTTAGTTTTGCTTCCTGATTTTAGTTCTAATGAGATGTCATGAATTTAATTATTTTTTGTTCTAATTTATAAATTCCAAAAATGCATAATGTTATTTTAATAATAATTTTAAAATCCCTTTCATTTTCACCTGCTAGTGCAGAGTCATCTGTGTACCTGATTCCTATTGGGCATACACAAAGAAGCATGTCAGTATTTAACTAGCCATAGATAGTCCCGTAGTAACTGAACAGTTTTCAGATATTTACATATGTACATTGTTATCCCTAGCAAGTGCTGAACTGAGGTTCGGTGAAAGATTCAGTGATTTCCTTATGTTTATGAAGGAGCATATGACATATACAGGAAAGGACTATGTTTTTCTTATTTCTAGTTCAGTGTTTTGGCCATGAGCACACATTATCATATGGCTTAACTATGCCTGGAGTTCAGACTACAGTGTATTTTAGCTATAACTGAGTTAGCTTTGCATGAACTAGTCTTAGAAGAGAAGCAGAGCAGTTTGGGCAATATCTCAGGTTATCACAGCCTGACCTACTATTGTAGCTGGACAGTACTCACTATCTCACCTTATTTACAAAAAGCTTAGGTAACTTTACTCTGTTACTGTACTATACGGTGCAGACACCCCTGAAGGAATCAGCTGAAAAAGTTAGGAGAGCATAGGTAGAAATCGAGTCTACAAACTAAACCCAAACTCTATGGACACTGTTGCATTGTCTTTGTTTCCTTTCCTTCATAGTTAGGGTAGCAAAAGAAAGTATAACATGTTTTCCTCAAGTCTTCCCCATTCCATGCCACTGTTCTCTTGCCTTCTGCAGCCTGAACTGCCTGTATCTCTTCTGGAGATTTCTCCACAGAGTTTTGCTACAGACAGGCAAACGGATTTATGGAACAATCACTGGTCTTATATTCTAAGCATTTCTGGACACAAACTACTTGTTCTCAGCTCTGTACAAACATGACACAATGGCCAATAACTACAGCTAGATAAATAATCATAATAATAAGCACTGGGAGTGACTATGATAAAGGATGTATAAATTTCTGTCAACAAGGAATTTAATTTTCTGCCTTTAATAGTAAATGTCACAATTTCTCCTCCAGTCCTATGTTTTCAAACTGTGAGTTATGATACACAAGAGGGTCACAGGAGGATTCAAAGAAGATTACAAAGTGTTTATGCTATCTGGATAGCATTAATTACCCAGATGTTTCCAGCAATTAAAGGCAGTTAGTTTTTCCCAGGCTAATGGTACACTTGTAGACAATAATTAGAGCAGCTTATTGGAGCACCTAAGCAGCAGCCTTATGTTTTGAAAGGGAAAGGAGGAAGAGGTTTCATCTGGAGTATTTGTCCTCAAAAATGGAAGAACCTTAAAGTGACTCCTGTTAGCAAAAACATTTAGGAAATGCTGATCTGCTGCTGTAAGAAAGTAATAATAGTGAAGTTATCTTTTTAAAAAATATGTATTTCAATGTGAAATCCTGATCTAGCTTAGGTCACACAACTAATAAGGACAGTTTGTAACAGCAATTTTCTTGGTGCAAGCACATTCATGATCAGATCACAAAAACCTTCTTTTTTGTTTCTCATTTTAGAAAATACTTTATGTTAAGTTTATCCCAAAGTGTATTATAACTTCTGTAACATAAAATCCAAACAGCAAGTCTTACCACAAAACCACCTCTACTGCAGCTGTCTATAAAATATCATAAAATGAGAGAAACATTTAGATATTATTTAATCTTTTTTTTTTCATTTTAGTAATGTAGTATCTTGTGACACATAAATAGGATTTTACTACTTACAGGACTTGCTATTATGTAAAAATCTGATATCCAATCTCCTATTTCACGTTGAATCTTAAACTGATATTAAGTTTCAGTATCTAGTAATTTTCCTTCCAGTGCCAGTTACTGCAACAGTCAATAAATGCCTAGTACAGTGACTTACGCTGAGATGTAGCAGAGGGTTTAAGTGGCATCTGTATTATTCTGCTATCCTGAAAGGTCATATTCTCAAAACCTGTTAGGTATTTAGGCATCTGAAACCTGAAGTGCTAGAGAGACTCTCTAGGATTCTGGTTCTCAGCACACACAGAATCACAGTATTGAATTCAACACATCACAGGTCTAGATAGATACTCTTTCACTTTTTTCACACAGTAATTAAAAGAATGCTTAATAATTGCCAATAACAGGTCATAGCAATTCCACTTAAAATGAGATACCCGTACGTGGTATCGAGGTTCAGTTTTCCCTTCAGTCCATACTGCATTGACCACATGCATGTCCTAACTGCTTGACTGGAGGCATTCTCTATTCTCTCTTGGCTACTTTGATTGAACTGTTGAACTGAAGGTTTATAGAACTATTAACATAAACAACATTTTCTAGCCCAGATTCTACTCCCTGTCCTCTGTTTCTTTCAGTTTCTGAATGAGTATCTCAACTCCAGCATTATAAAAAAAATCATTATGTAAAAGGTACACAGTACCACCATCTCTGGCAAAACAAACAAACCAACCAACCAAACCAAACCAAACCAAACCAAACCAAACCAAACCAAAAAGTCTTAAGATAAAAGAAGTAATCTATCATTTGTAAAAGGAGCGATATAGTTAATTTAAATCCAGGAGAGGATTTGGAGCTGTAATCTCAGTCTTTAACAATGTTCTGTCCCAAT